TTTAATGTGTTTAGATGCAACAACAACTTTAGTTTCCCAACACTTTTTTTAATTATTACTGTTTTCTTTGTATCCCACATTGGGATTAGGGAAGATTTGTTAAGAAAGGTGACAGGTTGTAAAAAAAAAAAACGGACGCATATTTACTGTGGTAGACTCAGAAATAATTGTACTTTCGATACATTCTCGCATTTTCTATTCAAGTAATTTGGTGAAAATGTATAGAAATTGCACTGATATATGCAGCATATTTTCATTCAAACAGGTTTGGTTAAATAATTTAGACATATCATGTCGATTAGTTTTCGTTGTGATCCTTTCAAGTTCACGATTAATTTTTGGTACATTTAGAAAACTGAGAAAAATACCAAATATCTCAGTGATCACTTTTCAATCAAAATAAAGTGACCTGCATTGTCCCCAGACATTAATCCGAGGGAAAGTGTTTGGAGAATGAATGCCAGGGACGTGCACACGAGCAACACCTAATATTTTACAGCTAATGAGCTGAAGCAAGCGATCATGTATGCATAAGAAAAAAAACCCTCAGTCTGTGCTCTAAATTGGCTAACTTTGTGATACCGCATCATTCTGGTTTTGAAAGTAAAAGATGGAACAACAACGTATTACCATTTTACTAAATATTTTTTGTTAATACAGTCTTGCTCGGCTTACGTCAGTTCACGTGACACCACGTGATATACCTAACTCCTGAGATCTTAATATAGGTCTACATGTTTCTCACTCTTAATTTTCTCTGTTAGTCAAAATAACTGACTCACCGCCGGAAGAAAATAGACAAAAGACTTTTGTACTGATTTTATAATTACCGGATATCAGTTTGACATTTTATATGGAAAAAATCTCATAAAAATTAAGAATAATAATTAATATTTATAACTCTGAAGAAAATACTTAAAAATAACCTAGAAACTGTAAAGCAAAACAGACGAATGTTAAAGCTTGTAGGGAAGCTTTATTAATTGCAATTTGACCACTGTCCATAAGTAAGGTTCGACCATTTCTTTTATAGTCGAGTATATCTAGGGGGAAACAATTATGGTTACCTTCCACTAAACTTACTTTCTTTCTGCTTCCTGCTTTTCCTCTTCTTTCATTTCTTTTCATCCTTTTTCCTGTCTCCTTGTTTTCTTTCTTTCTTTCAAGAAAAACAGATGCATGTTTAAGCTTGTAACCATGCTTTATTCCATGTATGGTTAGACCAATTCTTTTATAGCCTAGTAGTTCGAGGGGGAGACAACTATGGTTACCTTCTAAACAAACTCTATAATTTAAAAAAAAAATGCTTTCAAAATTTCTGAACATAATGCATGCTTTTTATGGAGTCGAAGACCACACACCAGAATATCCTCAAATTTAAACTTTCTGAATATTAATAAGTTATCTAAAAACTAAAGAAATTTTATTATTTTTTAATTTCTAAAGAACTTTTCTTTTATTCGTATTAAGTCCAACAGAGAATGTAAATATTTAACCTTTCCAATTGAAAAAAGGATTAAAACATAAGCAGGAAAAAAAAAACTGAAATTTTCGCATGCAAACGTGTAATTTCTTCAAGCGGTCAGTCTAGTGTAAGATTTAAATATTCTGGTGAAGGCATTCATAGTTGTCTCCCCTTCGAACTAATCTCCTAAAATGTAATGGTCGAATCCCGGGCATTGGTCAAATTGCCTTGAATAAAGCCTCATTACAAGTTTAAAGGTTCATTTGTTTTCTTTAAAAATACATTCCTGATTTTTTTTTCTTTTGTTCTGTTACGCTTCCTCTCGTTCGGCTTACGTCAGTTCACGTGACACCACGTGATATACCTATCCCTTGAGGTCTTAATATAGGTCCACATGTTTCTAACTCTTAACTTCCTCTGTTAGTCAAAATAACTGACTCACTGTACGCCACTTGTCCACAGGAAGAAAAATGCCAAAAGCTATTTGTTAACACAATTTTAGAATGTTAATATTTCTATGAATGGGAAAAGAGTTACTAATAATATAAATTGCTTAAAACTGTCCTCTTTACAATATTATTTTTAAATTCATTGGGTTGAAGCAATGTTAAACATTTTTGACTAGTATTTTCTCATTTTATTTATTTTGCTTATACGCATTAGTAATAGTGTTAAATTGTTTGAATTCCTTAAATCATGCATTGCCCATTATTATTAATTTTTGACTAGGATTTCTTTCATTTTTTTTCTTTTGCTTTTATATATGTCCCTCAAAAAATCTTTTAACAAAGAGCATGATGAAAAAGGTCTCAAATTTGATAAAATACGAAGTTTTATTGTAAAGAGGTTTATGTTATTATTAAGTGGAAAGACCAATCATTGTTAAAAATTCATTTTAAATCTAATGGTATCGCGTTTTTTGGAGCCCCAGAGTAAAATAGCCCCAGAGTAAAATTCTTATGTTGTTTGAATTCTTTAAATCAAGCATTGTCAATTATTACAAGTTTTTACTAACATTTTTTTCGACTTATTTCTATTGCTTTACATCAAGTAGTAATAATCTTAAGTTCTCTGAACTTCTTAAATGAAGAATTGTTAATTATTATTCATTTTTATCTAGTATATCTTTCATCTTATTCCTCTTGTTTTTCACCTGTTAGTTATTCTTTTCAGTTGATATTCTAAAATGAAATTTTGTCCAATATTAACTTTTTATTGGTTCATCTTTAATTTTCTGTAAAGTATTTTTTTTATTTCAGCTTCATAGACAGCCATTCAGCAAATAATAATTTCTCATCTCAAAACTTCCGATATAAAAAGGCAATATTTATCCTCATTTTTGTTGTTGCTCAGTTATTTTTTATTTTCCTTTATAATACTTCAGCAGTACCATTCTTCTATCTTGTTCAACTGCAAAGCTTCTATTGAATCTCAGTTCTGGGTATGACGATAAACTACATCCGCGTCCTGGGTAAGACGATAAACTACGTCCAACAGCAAGGTCCCTGACCAGAAGGTTTTGAGGAGCGTGGAACCACCTTTTAATTGCTGGTGTTCCCAGGTCCACCCTGACCCGGGGTGGTAGCACCTGTTAGGATCCCAGCTATGGGCAAATAGTTGACCCCACAACCTGACTATGAAAGTGTAAATGATTATTATAATATTAATAAACTAAGTTTGATACGACACAAGGATATAGAAAAGAGGCCCGCGTCGGGAATATTGAATTTACTACACCATCAATGATCTGGCAAGACTACGTTGAATAGTGATTTTCCAAGCGTAGCTCAGATGTGGCACAAGGCCGAAAGTATGGGGTACCCAGTGAGTATCGAACTCACTACTCAGTCGTAATTCTTCTAGCGAGACAAGCTTCCTAACCATTACACCGCCTCGAGGTGCCCAAGACTACGTTGAATAACCGTCTTATGAGAGAGGTTAAACAGCATTGTTTATGAAAAATTAGAAGAGACTATTCCAAAATACGGGGTGTTTCAAAAACTTTGATCTCATTTGATATATAAATATCTGAGTAACAACATAGTCTTAGGCAAATGAAACTAAACAGTCTTATTGTTGAACAGAATAAGATTTATTCATCAAAATTTGAATGAGAAATTCAAATATGAGGATTTCATGAACAATTTCACAAGTCTTTAATCTCCACACCCGTCTGTGACACGGCATATGTCAAGTCGGTTGTCCAGTTCTTTCCAAACATGCTGCAGCATGTCTTAGGCAGTGATTCTCTACTTGAGTTCCATGTAGGCTTGTAGGAAGAGGGGGAAATCTAGACCAGCCCCTTCACATATCCCCAGAGAAAAAACAAGGTGTCAGGTGAGGTGAACGTGGCGGCCAACTTTTTTTTCCAAATCTGCATTCCACATGGTGCATTTCTAGTGCATTATCTCCCAAATGCACGCTGCACAGTCTTGTTCGACTGTGTTCAAACATACTCTATGTTTTACCGGAACATACCTATTCTATTGTTAATAGACTCTCCCACATATAATAAGTAGTAGTAGTAGCAGTCGCCAGGGGACTCAGTGGAGTTGGTGTGTCAGTCGATGTCGGACATTAAAGTATCAACCACCACAACTAGATTGTTGCGTCATTAACTATTATTTCAAGTTCCTAACGTTTTGTACGTCGAACCTTTTAGGACCGACTTAGTGAAATACAAGCCTCCACTGTGAAAACTACTCTACAACACTCTAACACCCCAAACGTATTTTCTTTTCCAGTGAATGACATTTCTATATCTGAAAAAAAAAAAGAAAACATTAAGCGTAGACTTCTGAGTTATTTCTATAAATGCTGTTAAAATTTGAGATCATTTGAACAAGAATTGACCAAGTTATTAGATTATTAAATTACAGTGTAACCCGGATATAAGAGACCCGGATATAAGAAAAAACCGGATATAAGAGAGATTTTCTCTGGTCCCAAATTAGAGCCTGTGTTAATGTATATAAAATAGACCAAACCCAGATATAAGAGAAACCCGGATATAAGAGACTTCTTCTCCGGTCCCGACAACTCTCTTATATCCGGGTTACACTGTATATCAATTTTTTTCTGAAACACCCTGTATTTGTTGCGTCTTGAACCTCCGCTCCAGTTTCCTAACCACTGAGCTACTTTGCTTGAAATATTTCTTTATGTTTACTTGTTTATTTGTCTGTCAAAAATGCGGTTTGGTCCGCATTTTTGACAGACAGACATGTGACCCAGTTTAGTGCTGTTTTTGTTTTTTTCTTTCTTTAAGTGTAATATAGGTCAAGCAGGATAAATTTTATGGTACGATTTTCAGGCGTTTAGTCAGTGTGATGACTGAGCACTACCAACACTCCTTCTACTAGTCTACTTTTCGTCAGTTGACATCACCTTCTGGCTCCCACCCATCGCAGTTCACCCAGGTTAATTTGTCTATAGAATGAAAACCTTAACATGTACGTGCGTGTTTGCACACCAGGAGAAAGAGAAGTTTCGATTGTGGCTTGCCGGGTGGCTAAAGTATTCTGTTGAGGCCTACCGGGTGGATAGAGTAGTTGTACATTTCCGACTAATGCCAGTGATTGGTGTTCGAGCCCAAGTAAAAAACAAAGATATTGAAAATTGATTTTCAAGGGATGCAGACAAGCAAGCAGGAGAAAGTATGAGAGAGAGAGAGAGAGAGAGAGAGAGAGAGAGAGAGAGAGAGAGAGATAAAGAAAGATTAATAAAGAGTAATATAAAGGATATGAAGGTAGTGTAATGGATAACTGTATCTAAAGTGGCCTCGGTGAACAGAGTTCAAATATCGCACAAGTGCTCTTGGGAAAGGCATGAAACTCTTCCTTCTCACGGCTCTCTTATACTTGAATGGCAACAAGGAATACTCTGAAGTTCAAACTATGGAGTAGGCATTGAGAAACTACTCCACTATCTTTCTCGAGAATGCATGGTAATTCACAGATTATAAAGAAAAAAATATAAGGAAAGTTATGATTGCTTACGTTCTCTCTCTCTCTCTCTCTCTCTATATATATATATATATATATATATATATAATGAAAGAGAGTAAGTGATATATTCGATGAAAGAGAAAAACGGACATACGCACCCCCGTACACGCGCGCGCGCGCGCACACACACACACACACACAGGGTTACATGTATAGAAATGGAAAAGCGAGCTTATTATTTACGTATTGATCGATATTTCTAATTAAGATCACTCTCCGGCCCTATGTCCAAGTGACGACATATACCAACAGCAAGAAAGCTTAACAGTGGGATCGCCATTAAATCCAGTAATGATAAGCATATACATGGAACAGTTCGAGAAAATGGCACCAGAAAATGTCGCCACTAAAGCCAACCATATAGCTTAGATACATAGATGATACATTCATACCAACCAGGAAGATATATAAATACTGCTGAATCTCAAGAATTCAATAAAATGATCAACTGGTCTTTCTAGATATATTAATAACACACACAGATTATGGATTCAAGGCATTCGTATATCGTAAACAAGCCACACACTGGAAAATAGTTGAGCTTTAATTCTTACCATTCATACAGTGTAAGGTATGAGATCCTCGCTTTCCCCAACATTGGGCTAAACCCATAAGTGGCGCCCCAGGCATATACCAGTAGGGGATGTTCAGTATTTCAAAAAACCTTCAGAGTAACATCTACCTTACAAGCATAACATCAGCTTCCACCTGTAGAGACAAATTTCGAAGACAACAGTAAAAATCTACCACAGCTTGTCTACCATACATAAAGGATACATCAGAAAAGATTCAAAGTATTTATGGGCCACATACCACCAGGACGATATTCAAAAGCAGTTTAACCATTTCAGTGTCCTTCTCGGAGGAAAACTGAATCAAGGACTAGAACTGTGTATATTCCATCCCCTGCAATTATGGCAAGGAATACAAAGGAGAGGAATACAAAAGGAGAGACAAAGAAAAGTAAGGAACGTTGAAAAACTGTAGTTCTTGGAGAAATATTGAAATAGGTTTAGCTGATCATATATACAAAAAAATGAGCGGTCATCAACCTCAATGCAATACTTTTAATGATGTGTTCTTTCAGGACGTAAACGTTCATGGCTCTCCACAGATTCCATTTCTTTATATGTGCATTACCATGTATTTTTAGGAAAAGTAGTGGAATGGTTTTCCGTTGTCTTCTCCGTGGTTTGAACTTCAGTGTTTTATTCACTTAGACTGGTTGCCGCACAAAGCTCTTTAACATATAGCTGCTGTTGGTTTACTCAGGCACCAGTTGGAAATATGCCACTGTCTAACTCATCAAGCAGGTTTTATATATAGGGTGCGATGGATAAGTTGTCGTCTAAATTAAGCATAAATGAAAATAACATTGACATCTCATTGTAAAAAAATATATTTAACAAGATAGCAAAATATCTTGAAATACTAAAGAGTAAATTTATTCAATAAAATCGTCATTGGCTTCAACCACGGCCTCCAGACGACTTCGGAATCTCCTACAACTCTTCTGGACGGTCTCCTTGTTTAAGTTGCTGAATGCTGCCATAATACTTGCCTTCAGTTCATCTTTAGTGTTACAAAGAGATTTGCTGGCCTCTCGCTCAACATATATTAATCAAGGTGTAGGAGGTCTGGGGAGTTAGATGGCCAGATGTAAGGAGTGATGTGGTCACAGAAATTGCGTCATTGTGCTCTTTTTATCACAGACGGTACCGAAATATAATGTGTAGTCGACAAAATAAAAAAATATAAGGCATATGCGCAACATTAAAATATAAAATGGTGACAATTTATCCATCGCACCATCGAATCGAGTTCTCCTAGCTACTGACGCATAGTAAAAACGTTAAAATTTCCTTTTCTCTCTGCCGCGCGACGATAGCTTAGGTGGTAGAATCTGACTAATACCAAATCGATCGGGTTTCGATCCCGGCTTGAAACAATCGGATGTCTAACCACACTGACGAGCTGAAATACCGCGAAGCAGTCCGTTTGTGGATGACAATATATAATTTTCATTCCAGCAGGTTTGGTTAAACAATTGAAGCGTATTATGCCTATTTATTTTACTTTTAATCCTTTCAAGTCTACAATTTCTTGGTGGTGGTAGAAAATTGATCAAGAAAAATACCAAAATTTTCTTTCAAATAATTTTACAACGACGATGCTGACGAGACGGCTTGTTTCACTTGAATGATCATATTTCAATCTCAGAACATTTAAAGGAACATTCATGTCCAGATTCATAGTTTAGACAGATATTAGACTAAAATACATTAGTACTTCAACAAAATAACAAGAAGCAAAAACTTAAAATTCTGGAAGCCTTTTATATAAGAGAATTACGGCCCAAAATAAATAAATTTAACTATACGTATAGCAACAAATATATATATATATATATATATATATATATATATATATGGGTAAGAATATAAGTGCATATTTATCACAATAATTCTTTTTCTATCTTGCTTTCAATGAATCTTAGTTAGTCCATAGGAAGTCATTTTCTTATGTTTATTTTAATACAACTTTTACGCCGATATATTCTCAGGTCATCATAGCACAGAGCGCAACAGAAATAGCTCACACTTTAGCTAAATGAAGTCCCCGTTGCCACTAATGTCTTACCATTATGTGGGAGGTATTTCTGGGCCGTATTTCTGCAGCACCCTGTATAACTTGTAGTCTCATGATTTAAGCAACTTTTCAGTCTTTATCTTAACTGTTTTTAATTCATCATACAGATTTTATCTGGGGTCAGTTTATACTCGATCAATTTTGCTTTTGTTTTCAATCGTCCGGTTCATACTCTTCTTCAGTCTTTTGAACATGAGTAGAAGTTTATCCCTTGTTATCTGTTTAGTATTGGCTTTCCGGTTCTTTCCAAAGTTTTCACATTCTCTTTCACTCCCTTGTCCCTTGTGTCTTAGTAGCATTATCGCCATGCTTGGAGTGAATTGATTAAAAAAAAAAAAAAAAAAAAAAAAAACGGACAGAATCGCAGGACTGAGTGTCAAGGCCAGATTAATATGTCGCATTGACCTTTGCTATTTGTACAGATGAAAAGGAGAAAAAAGGAACCAATGAGAAATGGCTTCTAAAAACCGGATTTTAAATACATTGGCCGAGGGAAGCTGAAGAACATTTTAGTTGAAATGCCCTAAAAAAGGAAAAAAAAAAAAAAAAAAGAAAAAGAAAAGAGTTCCTCCCAAAATACTGAATAAGGGAAACAGTTTTTCAATGCCAAACCCATGAATATACCGGATGAAAACTTGTGTTAAAAACAATTTAGTTGTCAGAAAAATATATTGATATGAAAATAAAGAATCTCAGTGCTTAAGAAACCAACAGAAATAAAGATTATGCTGTCAAGAGTTCACTCCCTTGGGCTATCTGTGAAAACTTTAAGCAGTATAACTTCGTCATTGTGTGTGCTTTTCTTCGGATTAATTTCATAGTCTTATTTTTTATTTCTTTATTCACTTTTCGGCCGCATATTCTCCAGTTTTCCTCGGGCGTCTGTTGTAGGAAGACCAGAGAGTACAAAACCGAAAAAAAAAAAAAAAGAAAAGAAAAAAAAAAAAAAGTAAGAAAAAGAAGCCAAGGGAATTAGTCCAAATGAAAACACATATGATGAGTCCGTATCCTTTTGGTGTCTATTAATTCTGACACTTTCATTTTCTTGATTTCAGATGAAAACATTGAAAATTTCTAATATATTTCAATTAAATTTTCATTTTCCAAAGTTATAGTCTATAATTATAGTTTAGATATATGGAAAAAATAGTGTCAGTTTAAATTACGCCAGTTTAACAAAATTCAAGTATAATTTATTTCAGCTAAAGCACAAGCTAGACTTTTAAAAAAGGTTTTGTTCATTTTTGCAACAGTGACAATGATCTCCTTAAGAATTAACTCAAATATACTTTTGTTTGTTTTATTCATTTATCTATTTATTACTTTGACTCACTCAAGTTTCGTACATCTTATCGGTTGATTGTTGGTTGTTTTGTTTTATAGCTTATCAACCCCTCATGGCTCATTTAAAGTCGAGACATTCTTATATTTCATAAAATTTATTTTTTTTCTTTCAATCATATTGTATCAACTATTTATTTATTCATTTTTTATTTTTTTCTATTTTTCTTTTCCCTCTTATCGTTTTGTCAGAAGAGCGCCATTTTACTGCATGCATGCTAGATCTTCTGACGGCTGCTTCACATTAGATATTGGTACAGGATGAATATAAATTTTGCTGCACGATAACAACAGTTCACTACTACTTATTTTATATACAGTTCTCCTTTCATGACTTGAGTAATCATGACTCTCCCCAATAGCCTATCTATTATAGTTCTAAGTAATGCTTGTTTCTTGCCTTTGATATGTCACGTGAGTGTCAAATTGACCAAGCACTCTTTTCTCATTTTGTGTACCAGGAATTTCAAATGTCTTCCATTCAAAATAAAAGTGTTCTTTTTGCTTCAATTTTCAATTTTCTCTAAAATTACCTCGTTGTTTACATGTTCTGTCAATGATATTCTCAGCATCCTTCTGTAGAACGACATTTCCGTTGCTTTAAGTCACTTCTTTATCTGTGAGGAGATTCTCCAGCATTCACTGCCATATAAAAGGACTGATATTTCATAAAAATTCAGTACACATTTTTTTGTTCCTAACGAAATTTATCTGTTTCTAACTACTTTGCTTAGCCTTTGAAAGGCATTTTTCTCTACCCATCAGCATTTTTCTGTCGCCTATTATCCGGTTCACACCCTCCCCAGCGATTATCTCTTGTTTCTCGTTTAGGATTGGATTTGCAGTTCCTTTAACTCTAGACTTCTAACGTCTCCACCTGAAGTGTGAAATTTGATTCACTATTTATTTATTTTTTCTTCTTCAATAGGTTCGCCTGTCGCCGGGTTCACACTATTCCCAGGTCTTTTAAACAAGAGTCGAGGTTTATCTATTGTTTCCTTTTACGACTGGGTTTCCGGTTCTTTCTACTCTTTTTATTGTCTTTCACTCACAGTTGCTTGAATTGATTAAAAAATATAAAAAATAAAAACATTTCTATTGCCTATATCGTCATCTGTGAAGAAATTATTAAGCATTCACTGCCATAGTCGAGGATTGATATTACACAGCAACTCAGCGCTCTTTTCTTTGTTTCTGAGGAGTATTCCATGTTTTTTAATACTTTGCTTAGCATTTGGAAGGCATCTTTCGTTACTCTAATGAGTCTTCGGATTTCTGTGTCACATTTTCTGTCGTCTGCTAAAATATTTCACAGATAAATCTAAAGTTTCCTGTATGATAAGCAACAGCAAATACTACTACTATTTATTACTTGCAAATATTTCACAAGCTGATCTTGATCTGTCACTTAAGAACGGTTGCGTAGCAGCTAGTGAGAATAAAACACATAAGGAGCTTGTTCACCATTACTCTATAGATAGGGAACCATAGACTTAGTCTACCTGGTGTACGGGAACAAGTGAAGAGCACTTTGCTAGGATTGAACTCGCTACAGTAATCATGATATGCGAAACTAGTCAACATTTCTCCAAGGCGAGACGACCACCTGTTAGTTGTAGTTGTGGTGGTAATAGTTGAGATAATGACATAGGTTATTTATTTTCACAATGCAAATCATTGTAGGTATGGAGATATTTGAGTTTTAAAAAATCCAAGTGAAAGAGTTGGCGTCTGTTGGTAATGACGTCATTCGGTTGGGTCTGGTCGACATGGCTCCTTTGAAAGAAAGAATGAATTGCAAGCATTTATTTTTTTACTCGAGAAGTTCAACTGTGAGAGAAGAGAGAAAGAGACGACCACAAAAAGAATGCTTGATTTGGGCGTTGGTTTGAGAAATAATTTAACCTGGAAAGAAATAATTGTAAAATGAAAGTACCATTTTTTCTGAACTTACTTTCTATTTTGTTTTTCTTTTTGTATTGTCTCATTTTTTCTTTCTATTCAGTTTTATTCGTTTTTATCTATTGTCCCATTTTTCCTTCCTTCTTTCTTTCTTTCTTTCTTTCTTTCTATTCCGTTTTATTCTGTCCGTTTTTCTACTGTCCCATTTCTTTCTTTCTTTAAATAAATACATTTTGTTTTTTGTTTTCTTTCTTTTCTTGAATTATTTCTTTTTTTCATTTTCTTCTTTTCCTGTATTTTTGTTAATAAGATTTTCTTTCTTTCAATATTTTTTTTATTTTCTGTCTTTTTCATTCCTTCTTTTTCATTTATTTTCTGAATATTTGTTTTTAGCTTTCGGTATTTTTATTTCTTTACTTTTAAATTCTTTCTTTTCATTTTCAGTAAATGCTACTTTTTTTCACGCTATGGGTTAAATAGCAAGGTAGACCGAACTCTCTAGCTGTGAGTAGAAGCCAGTCGAGAAGAAAGACTACTTTACATTAAAGAGCATGGAGAATGCAATGGGAAACAAGTCCACTATTCTGTCTAAAAATTCATGGCAATTCACATGTAATAAAAGAACAAAATTTAGGCTGAGCGTTTTGAAAGAGTTTAGGGTTTTTAAAAGTATTCACCAAAACTGTCTCTACTTAACAAGCTTGATGCAGAGATTGAAACTTTAAGACTAACTTAAGCTTAGTATAGATAGAAATAGTCATTTAATGTTCTTTTCTATATTTTCGTTATTGTTATAATTACTTTAATAAAAATGGATCTTTTCTGTTAATTCACCCCAAATAATGTAAAGTTACTTATGACAAATATTAATTCACCACAAGAAATTATAAATCAAAGTTTGTTTTTTATTAAATTTTTAGAAGTCTTTTGAAATTATAAATCAAAATTTGTTTAACTTGCCTCGCAACAACTCCAAACCTCAGAATGGAAAATTATCAAAAATCAGGGAGTTGTTCACATTTTGTAAGTGAGGATGATATTCAAGGTACTTACAAGGAATTTTTATAATTTACAAAAAGAAAAAAAATCTGTTTTTGGCTTATTTATCGGTGTGAGCGCAAACGTAGGACCCACACTTAGAAATAGCTCATCCGAGTCGTCCACATTTGGGGCGATCGCAAAGGTCAACCCAACTAAAATGCAATGAAAGGGCCTCGCTCTGGGAGAATTTGGTGTGAATTTTAGTAAATATAAATTCTTTTTATTTTGTGGGTGAAGTAATATTTTTGGGGAATTAACAGAAAAGATAAAAAAAAAAAAAAACAGAATAAAGATTAGAAGCAAATCTGTTGGAGATTGCTGTTGTTATTATTTTCATATATTTTCACAAGCAGATCTTGTGCCGTAATTTAACGATCAGTGTCAGATCATAACAAATACCCCCCCCCCCGTGTACTGCCATTTCTACACATGTCTACATCAATAAAACATTTCTGGCTGTCCAATGCAGTGCTGTTTCCTGAAGCATCTGAAATCGAATCACTGTCCCATTTTATACCAAGCCGTTTATGGATTTTGTCTGCCACTGTTTCATGGACGTCCACAAGAATAGAAACTACTTCTACTTTCTTAAATGCCGACAAGCATGCTATCTCATCTTTCAAGTCGTGTTACCTTTCTTTTTTCTCAACTAACATTTTGTCCCCGAGTAACGTCATATCGATAATCCAAAACTGTCTTCTGTCTGGACAATAATAATAAGGTCTAGCCTTCTTGTTTCAATGACATTATCACATTACACGTGGTGAAGTCCCAGTGCAGCTGTATAGTCACATTTTCCAACACTGCAAGAGGTTTGTTCACATAGCAGACCTTGTATAAGGCAAGGTGGTAAATATATGCATTCTGTTTGTGTAAATTTTGATGTTAAGTCATACTTAACGTGTACAATGTTTATATTTGCTTGACTATTAAGAAGAGTTAAAGATTACTTAGAAGATTTGTTGTCAGTTAATTTTCACTATAATTCACCAGTTACTGTTTGATGCCTAATACGAGTGAGGTTTTTTTTTTATTATCGAGGGGATCGGATTTTTTCTCAGTGTGCAATAAACCGGGGCACTCATTTAAATGTTAAAAATTGTGCGAAATTAATAAAAGGTGTGGTCTTAAGTTTTAGGGTGGGCGGAAAAAATAAATATAAATTAAAAAAAAGTAAAGCGTTTCCCTCCTTCTTTTAGGCACGAAATAATTAGTAGTACCTATAAAGATTTCATGCTTTTGCACTTTGAATTTTGGGATGAATCATAATTCTTGGGTTACTGATTAAATAAATTCCTTGCGAATTCTACAATTATAAAATACCCGTGGAATTTCCCTTATGGTATCCTTAAATATTTGAGCTTAATAACTTTAAGATTGTAATAACATTCATAAGTATGGAAAAGCGATATATAAATTTTTATATATCAAGAACAATTTTAGGAAAATCTATGAAAAGGGGTTTCGTGTGACGCGTTTCGTTCTTTAGGACGTCATCGGACTAAAGTGAATGTTTACGTAAATTTAAAGAGAAAGCAATTTGCTAAGAAGAAAATGTATAGAAAGTGCTTTACCCGCATGATTATCTACAATAAATTTGTGCCCAGGTTCTTAAATCATTTCATTTTTTTTGGCAGATCTCTAATTATCACATTGTGGGATATTTAATAACAAAAGTGGCGGAAACATGAAACAAAAAGAAAAAGAAACTAAAGGAAATTGGCTAGACTATATAGCCAAAACACATAAAAAAATTGAATTTCAGCGCCCACTCTCCTTCACGCGCATGTGTAGTCACATCAACGTAAGAATCACTTTAGTCCGATGAGGTCCTAAAGGACGAAACGCGTCATAAGAAATACTTTGTACTTTTCATAAGTCATAAGTATAGGTCATTATTTAAAGAAGTAAGAGGGTACAAATTAAAAATGTGAGAAAATATCAATGAGGGTTCAGATCTAAAATCAGAAATCCGAGATCCAAAGATCATAAATCATTCAAAAATCCTGAGGAGGTAAATCAAAAGGGATCAAAAACCGGCATCCATGACTCGCAAACATACAACATGTCTACTTCATTCACAAAAAAACCCCCAAAAAACTGTCTTCTGTAGTCGCTCGAAGTCTTCTTTATGTGCCGTGTACCTTCGGGGCGTAGGCGATCGAGGCTCTCCACAGCTTCCTGTCACTTTTAGCTATTTACAAACTTTGTCTTTCTGTTATTTCTCCTAAACCCTGTTCGAACTCACTAAGTAGGTTATGCGTTGTTTTCCTCTGTGCGTCTTGCCTTCCATCGGTCCCGTGAGTATCAGATTTTCCAATCCCTCCTTTCTCACTATGTGCCCCAGAAACTTCAACTGTCTCTTCCTGATGTTAAGTATGTTTTCTTTTTGCTTGCATTTTCTCTAAAACTTTGCCGTTGTACACATTTTCGGTCCATAGTCTCCTCAGCATCTTTGTGTAAATCCACATTCCTGTTACTTCAAGTCTCTTCTTCATCTTGGAGGAAACTGTCCAGCACTCACCACCATACTGGAGGACAGATATAACGTAGCAGTTTAATACTATTTTCCTTGATTTTAGTGAAATTTTTCTATTTTTTAATACTCTGCTTAGCTTTTGGAATGCATCTTTGGCTATTCCAATGTGCCTTCGGATTTCAGTGTTACACATTCGGTTCTTTGTTAAAACACTTTTTGGGATCTTCGATTTGCAAATCGCACTTTGCGCTCAGCTTTGAGTTTTACTCAAAGTAGTGTTCTTTTATTGGGGGTAAGCAAGGCTGTCATTGGCCGAGACTGGTACTGGAGAAGCACAAACACTTGCCATATTTCGAGGCCTAACTAAAGATCTTGATTTTGATTTCCAATAAACAGCACAGAGAACATGATTTTTTTTTTGAGTTAAATCTTGGTTTTCTACTCCGTCGTCACAAAAGTGATGAAATTGACATTTTTTTTTTCATTTCGCTGAAACAAACGTTAAACACGTGTGAGCGTTATCCCTCCCTGTTTCGTTCACTGAAACTGAACAATCTCTCTGATATGTATACTCGCGATCTAAAACGGAATAGTTCATTATTTATAAGGTATTGGCATCCGTCTATAATCTAACTCGGTAACGAAGAACGAGCAGAATAATACAGATATTAATAATAATATTATTTCTTGGGGAATTTAAAATTGAAAAAGACCACGAGTGGAAAACCAGATGAACAAATCGAATAAATCCCACAGACGACAGTATAGAACTGAATGAAAGTAAAAAAGAGCTTGCAAATTATCCAGATATTGCAAAAGAACAGAAAGAATGTACGGAACATAAATGTGGCAGCTATGCCCATCATCACAGGCGAGATTTGAGCAGTTTCGAAGAAATTTGCAAAAGCACTGGAATAACTAGAGATCCGTGAAAGAATTGAAATCACTCAGACGATGGTATTAATGAAATCAGAACAATGAGGAGATTACCAGAATAACAAGGGGTGTGTGCTGTCAATTGATCTGCAGTGATAATCAATTCTCTCGGATGGGAAAAGTCAATGCAAATACACAGAGTAAATACTAGCATAGTAGCCGTAAAAATGACGTGATTTTTCATATTGATAGGGGATTTCTGCTGAGTATTTGAGCACTTCTGCTTAATGTCAGAGTGTAATATTTAAATGTTTTGTAAAATTGATACACACGCTAGTCTTTTTTATACTGAGCATAATCACATATACATTTTTATACTGAGCACAAATTTACTCTATGTTTGTTGTTATCATAAATAGCATACTTATTTACAACCAACGTCACACACACACACACATATATATATATAGTTGTAGAGTGGATAAATGAAACGGCCAAATATAAGCAGGCGTGTACGCGTGTGCTGGTGTGCATACGCAGGCAAGCAAATAAATAATCGTTAAATTTATGCATGAGGTGTAAACGTAATAGTGCTCAATGCGGTTAT